TATCTTAATCTCTCAAAAGCCTGATATTTGAAGTTCAGTTATAGTTTCCAAAATATTCCACATTGGTCAGTAACCTAAACCATCTTATGCTTTTGTTTCATATTGGCAATGAGTACAGTCATTTTTTAAACTCATATGTGTCTGTTATAAAGATAAATAAAAGGTTTATGAGACAGAATGCACCTTACGTTAAAGAAACTTTAGAACATATAACAAATTTTCTTTTTTACGAATTTGTTTGATGAAATTGTATGATAACAGTTGTTTCTATCCGAAAATACACATCCGAAAGTACTTTCAAATCATGATCAGTTTTGCTTGTTGTTTAATCACATGCAGTCAATTTACAGGACTTAATTCTAAAAAGTCAATGATTTGAGGGAATAAATGAATACATAATATCATTCAAAACTTATATTTAGTATAAATATATTAAATAAACAACAAACCATTAGCTCAAAAATGTTTCGTACAACATGGCGGGTGTCCTGCTATCACGTGATTTGATGCTATGTTTTTGATACGATAATTTTGGATTTAGAACAGTATGTTGTATATATCCCACATGTCACGTGGACATTTATCGATGATATGATTAGTCCAGTAAGTTAGAACAGTCTATTTATCAAGACATAGTAAATTTGTGGAGATAGAACAGGATGGTTTCGTTGTAATTTATTTATGAAGCTCCGAAGCACTAAATAACACATGCCAAGGAGATAGATCAGTCCATTACGGACAAAACTGTGTATTTAACTTGTTTTTGGAAAATTTGGAGATAGAACATTACAGTTTTCAAGCGACGAGGTGCTGATGGGGCCCTGTCTGCCGGAATAATGACGGGACTTATGACAGGGACTACATCAGGATCTTCTGCCAACGTCTGCTCCCTCGTTACCAATATTGCCCTCCTGGCCTTTGCCTTCTTCCATGCTTTACTGAGTGGCATGTCTAACTGAAATGATAAATAAGCAAGAGATGAGATACAGCTCTTTGTTACAGATTTTACAACATAAAAACATGTTTAGGTCATGAAATTTTTTTGTTTTGCAATCAGAAAAGTTCAGGCACAAAAACCATATTTTCATGTTAACAGAATGAGTTTACAAAGATATTGTCAAAATTTGGCATTTGCTTAAAAATCCCGATTTAAGCTGCTTTAATTCACATTTGCTGACACTGATAAAGCTGATATTAATAAAATTGGAATTAATTAACAGGATCAATAAAATAGTCTAAAGCTAATTTTATCTTGACTTTTTTTTCTTTTTAAGAAACAAGCAAACTCAGCCTTGAAACTCATTACTACTGTTTTTAACCCATTAATTTTAGTAAAGACATACCTTTCTTATGCTGGAAAGCTACCACTGGAGCAGTTCTAACAGTTTCCAATGAAACAACGATGTGGCAGAAGCACTTTGTAATTTCAGAAACACTAGAGTGTCACAACCTTATGTCACAAGGTATTAAATGTCACTATGTCACAAGGTATTAAATGTCACTAGCACTATAAGTGTCACAATGTATCACATATCACAAGCACAATGCACAATCACAAATATGTTGTCTCTGTTATATATCACAATGTTATTTTCACAAAAAGTCTTGTCAATAAATATTGTTTATCTACGGTTATCTTTCAAAATAGTTCTCTTCTATAAATGTTTTGTGTCCAATGGGGACGATACTATGAAAAATATAATATATTACACCTACCTGGGTACAGAAGACACACAAGATACTTGTTTTAGATATACAATGTATGTTCTGTTAAAACTTTATTGAAAAATATATCTATCACAAATGTTCTTTGAAGCATCTTCAACATGTATGTAAAACTCTTTTAATACTAAAATATGTGCAAAAATAATGAATATTTCTTTTATTTTACATTTTCAATTGAATCAAAAAGTAAATGGTGTAAGAAAGACAATATAAGCACAAGCATCACTGATCAGCCAGGTGGTTACATTTCCATTGTAAGATCCTCTTTACTCACTGATGAATATTTTAGGATCAAATCTGATCAACTAAGCATGAAATGAGTAAATATCATCTTATCATGTAAGAATGATTTTATGATTATTTAAATAAAATTTATAATTATGAAAACTGGTTTTCATCAATGGCACATTTTTGGTGAGGTTGGTCACTTCTTTTCAACTCGTTAATTGGATTATGCACTAATATGTAAGCCATTCAGTATCTCTGTACTGTCCCATCAATATGCAAATATGGAAACAAAAGAGAGCAAACAACATATATATCATTTAGTGAATATCTATCTAGAAATTTACAAGAATAATTTTCATTTACTATTTTTAGCTATGGCAGCCCCTAAAGGGATCCAAACAAAATAATGAAATTAAACGAATTGCAAGAACAAAATGCAAGAATACTTCAAACCAAAATTGATGAATATCCATCTAGCGGATTTAGTGATTAATCTAGAAATTCCATATCATGCGTTCAAGGACTCCTATATGCCCCCCCCCCCAAAAAAAAAAACTTTGTTTGTGAGGGTATAATTAGAGGTCAGTAGAGGACTAATAGATAATGATTTATACCAAGTATCTAAGCACTACGCCTAAGCTACATTATCAGACAAGAAGATTTTTAAAGATTTACTATATAACATTATGTAATAAAACTAGTGACCCCCAGGGTGGTGACATTTTTGACCCAAGGGAAAAATTTCAACAACTTTTGTACAGACTACAGGATGATACACACCTAATATTTAAATAGGCATAGTGGATTTTCTTACATGAGTCTATGTAGAACAGTGATCCTGTGTCGGGGTCATAATTTTTTACCCAAGTGGGATACTTTGAACAATTTTGTAGAAGAACCACTAGACAATAATACACACCAAATATTAAGGCTCTAGCCAAAGAAAATTTTTAAAAAGTTAGTTCTTTCCATTGCCATGGCAACTAGACTTCTGCACGGAATTCAATTTATTGAACAATTTTCAAAGGTGACAGTTTGGTTGAAATTGGGTTAACTGTTTATGAGGAGATGTAGTTTAAGACTGATGCCAGACGAATTTAGATCACAAAAGCTCAACTCATCACTTTGTGACAGGTGACTTAAAAGTCTTTAATTTTGACCAAGGGCTTTTATTTAAACAAACTTGATCCCCCCAACCACCCCCACCCCCCCAACGTTGCAGGGCCAATTTAACCCAAGGGCTTTTTATTTGCACAAACTTGGTAGACACCCATAAGAAGATGTTTCATGCTAAACATCTAAGCTCTAGCTCATTGGGCTTTTTAAAAAGAAGATTTTTTTTTTAAGTTTTTACTATACACATATAGTTAAAAAACAATGACACCCCTGGGGCCGGGCCAGTTTTGACCCCAGGGCTTTTATTTGAACAAACTTTGTAGACACTTACTAGAAGATGTTTCATGCTTAATATCTTAACTCTAGCTATTTGGGTTTTTTCAAAGAAGATTTTAAGTTTTTGCTATACACATATAAGGAAAATCAATGACCCCCGGGCGGTGCCAATTTTGACCCCAGGGCTTTTATTTGAACAAACTTGGTAGACACCTATAAGAACATGTTTGATGCTAAATATCTTAGCCATAGCTCTTTGAGTTCTTTAAAGAAGATTTTTTAAGTTTTTACTATATGCATATAGGGAAAATCAATGACCCCCGGGGCGGGGCCAATTTTGACCCCAGGGCTTTTATTTGAACAAACTTGGTAGACACTTATTAGAACATGTTTCATGCTAAATATCTTAGCTCTAACTCTTTTGGTTCTTTAAAAGAAGATTTTTTTAAGTTTTTACTATATGCATATAGGGAAAATCAATGACCCCCTGGGGCGGGGCCAATTTTGACCCCAGGGCTTTTATTTGAACAAACTTGGTAGACACCTATTAGAAACATGTTTCATGCTAAATATCTTAGCTCTAGCTCTTTGGGTTCTTTAAAAGAAGATTTTTTAAGTTTTTTACTATATGCCATATAGGGAAAATCAATGACCCCCCCGGGGCGGAGCCAATTTTGACCCCAGGGCTTTTATTTGAAGAAACTTGGTAGACACCCATTAAAACATGTTTCATGCTAAATATCTTAGCTCTAGCTCTTTGGGTTCTTTAAAAGAAGATTTTTAAGTTTTTTACTATATGCATATAGGGAAAATCAATGACCCCCCCGGGGCGGGGCCAATTTTGACCCCAGCGCTTTTTATTTCAACAAACTTGGTAGACACTCACTAGAAGATGTTTCATGCCAAATATCTAAGCTCTAGCTCTTATGGTTTTTTAAAAGAAGATATTTAAAGTTTTTTCTTTCGGTTGCCATGGCAACCAGAGTTCTGCATGGAATTAAATTCTTTGAACAATTTTTGAAGGTGACCACCAAAGGAACATTCCTGTGAAGTTTGGATGAAATTGGCTTAGTGGTTTATGAGGAGATGTCATTTAAAGTAAAAGTTTACGGACGGACGACGGACGGACGGACGGACGCCGGACGAAAAGCGATCACAAAAGCTCACCCTGTCACTTTGTGACAGGTGAGCTAAAAATGACATAGATCCACTTGACCCATCTATTTTATTAAAAACTTACATAAAAGATGGTGCTGATGGCATGGGTGATGTGTCAGTGTACTGGGAAAAGAATGATTCCCAGCTCCCTAATAAGGCTTTTAGGTTTGCTTTTGCTGTTGTAAGAGTAACAGTTTCTTTATCTGATGGCAGTCAGAAATTAATGTTTGAGGAAAATAAACCCAGTTCAATTAGAACAAATAACCCCTTTTAGAGGCTATTGCCGATGAAAATCACCAAGCTTCTAGCATGTTTTGCATGCTTCCTATAGAGAAGGAACGTGCTTTTTTAAAAGGCAAAATACTACGCATTTGTACTAAATTTGGGTGGCGTAGACCTGGAATTTCTTTTTTCACATCAATGATTGATGAAAAGTTTGATCGTAGTGAATCAGGTCTAGCTGGTAGTGGTTCAACCTATCTGTGTACACTAAGCAGATGGCAGACTATATAAGAATGAATCCAGACAATCTTAGTCAAAGTGTTTTAGACAAAATTTCACTAGGGGTAAAAAATGATCCAGTTTTATGCTGTGATGCAATAGAAAAGGGCATTGATTCAACTCATGCAGACATAAACATGGCTTCTTTTTTCAAAAAGGTTATAGTCAGAGAAATTAGTGGTGTAACTGTATGGGCATTAAGAGCAGATGTTAAAGCACTGATATTAAATGCTGAAAGTTTGTTTGACAAACATATGAGACAATTTACTGGTATTAATCCAGCTCTAATGATGCCAGGGAATTATGCTAGAACACTGTTTGAAGAGAAAAATGAACCAGTTATTGTTTCATTGATTCCTTCCACAGAAAGAAAGAACTTAGTCTGTCAGCTCCTTAGTTTATTTAGGTTTCTTAGAAAAATATACAGGGCTAAATCTCCACTTGATGACTATTCAGATGATGTCAAGCAATATAAGTTAAATGCTATAAAAATGGGTCAGATCTTGCTTAATGACTTTTCCTATGTTGAGTGGCCTAATTATTTGCACAAAATCATTGAACATGTTCAAGAATTAATTGAACTTGAGTCTGGGCCAGGAAGCATTGCCATGTTTAGTGGGGAAGGTAACGAAGGTGGAAATAACGTTTTTAGATACTTCAGGAAAAATTTATCTCGAAAAGGGGATGTTCTTGGAGGACTATAAGATGTTTTGCAGCTACACTGGTTGTATAGCAGCAAAACCTTGCAGCAGATTTCATTGGTTACACATAATCAAAACAGATGTTCTGTTTGCTTTGAAACAGGTCATAAACGGACAACATGTCTGAACGCAAATTTATAATAACCTATGACATAATATATGAGCCGTGTCATGACAAAACCAACATAGTGGGTTTGCGACCAGCATGGATCCAGACCAGCCTGCGCATCAGCGCAGTCTGCCAATACTATTACAAGTAGAGAAACTGATAGCGAACAGCATGGATCCTGATCAGCCTGCGCGAATGCGCAGGCTGGTCTGGATCCATGCTGGTCGCAAACCCATTATGCTGGTTTTGTCATGACACGGCTCATATATAAATTAAAGTGACTTTAGTGTATCTGAAAAGTTTGAAAAACCTTTGACCAAGAAAAATTATATTATTGGTTATGCAAGGCTTCCACTTTAACAATAACTGTGACGTTGACCTATTGGCATCAAAAGCATAAGAGATCAACGTATATATTATATTGTGTTTTATGGACATATGTGCAACTTGCTTGATGTTATATCCCTCTAGAATTTAACCCTTATTGAAATGTATAGAAGTCAAAGGCACTTTTATATGATTTCCTTATGTAAAGTTTATAATTATTTTTTGATATTATCCATTATGTCAGATAAAAAAGATCAAATTTGCCAATTGTTCTTTAAGCATTAGTCAAACAAAACAGTAATAAATCAAGTGAACTGGTATAAAGTGACTTTTTGTTATGAATACTATGATAGTTAATGCACTAAGAATGTTATTTGGCTAAACCAGTCATGAATCTTGTTTTGAGCAAATTTAGTCTAATGTACAGTAAATTTGAACATGAATGAGATAACACAAAATAAGAATTATTAGGAAATTGCATTTTTTAAGTCATGTTTTTGTTTCAATTTTTTTTTTTAATATTCTTGAGTTTAATATTGTGATTATTTTTTGTGTTTTGCTAACACATATATGCATAAGGTAGATGTATAAGTGACAATATGTATTAGTGATGTAGCTACAGGCAAATATTATTCTATTAATAAACCATAATAATGAATATAGATAGCTATTGACAACATTGACAATACTCCAATAATTACTTATAGTTACTTTTCTGTTATTCACTTAATTAATTATTAATTAAAATGATTTAAATAAAACATGTTCTGTTCATACAAATATTATATGTGTGTAAAAGTAACAATATACCTATATCATAATATTTTCTAGATCATTTTTTGTCCTCTTCAGCTATGAAATATTTCAATTACATAATAAAATGATTGTGTTACTTCTGTATATGTTTTGGTTCAAAATTTCCATAATTTTCAAATATTTATGTCCATAACTAGTCAAAATTATTGATTTGTCAAATTTCTATTGATCATAGAATTAATAACAATACATCTGAATTGTTTTTATTGATAACTTTTTGTGCTAGGATAAAAAATAAGCAACCTTTTTTTTCATCAGACATCTAGTAATGCCATTTTTTTAAGTAACATGAATGTCATGGGTTTTTTTTTTAAAACTCAGTAATGGGAAATAAAAAAAGACTCACTTTCCCAATAAAAATTCTTTTATAAGAATTTTTAAAGAATTTATCATGTAAACTGTTATATATAACACTGTTGTAACTTTTAGAAGTTCTCACTTAAATATGTTTTCAATGTTACAATTATTATTAGCAGAAAACCTTTTTTTATGACAATGCCTCTGTGTGGCTGATTTTATTTTCTTGTTCTAGTCAGATAAAGAATATCAAATGATTGAAAAGAGTTTTCTTGCTAATAAATGATATGATTAACACTTTCTCTTGGTTCCTTTTTTCCCTGGACAATTAAGGCATATATATTTTGGCATATATATTTTCCTTTTGGCATTGACTTTAAACCAGTACAAAAAAAATGATGCCATTGTTTACAAGCCCCTTCACATTGTATCCATTGAATAGGTGAAACTTCAGGGCTGTCTTGTATTTTACAACTGGCCAAATCACAAGGACTAGGAACAAATGGTTTTGAGGTATAGACTGAAAAACTTCGAGCAGACCCACTGATCAATAAAATTGTTTTGTTGTCAATGACTGTTATGCTATTGCCAACTGCTGCATATTCAATAGGAGCTGTTACAGACTCAGTTTTGTAAGAATTAAAATCAAAAATAAACATAATATTTGACATTTTTTTGTCTCTGGTTATTTGAGGAACACTTTGAATATAACCACCATATATATATAACTTTTCATTAAGTATAGATGAAGCATGAAATGATAGGTATTTAGGTACACCTTCAAAGTTTATCATTGTAAGACTGTACTCAAATGTTTTTGAAATACTGAGAATAGCAACATCAAATAAGGGGAGTCTTTCTTTTGGTAAGTTCTTGTCATACAAAACCCCACCAACAATAGCAAGCTTATCAGGTTGTATGAAATCTGATGTATGAAAACATCTTGGTCCTGGACCAAGTGTTTCAAGTTGTGTCCAAGTCATAGAAGACAACTCAAGAATGTAAAAAAAGTTATCACTGCAGCTTTGTACAAAATGGCTCTGCAAATGACGCTGAACCTGTATTTCTATATGGAAAGTGGTAGCAACCAAACATAATGAGCTTTGATGTATCTGGTATGTTGTTCAGTGTGTGACCTGCTCTGGCTGTAGGTGTCCCTGTTTGACTAAGAACTTGAGGCTGTGTTTTAAGGTGATCAAGCATGTCAAATTCAAAACATGATGAACCAGAAAATAATTTAATTTCTAAAAGGTTCTTTCCACGTTTAACAACACCTTTCATATAGTATAAATCATTGGTAGGTTTATAGGTGTTAAGATCAAGTCCACCCCAGAGACACATTTCATTTTTTGACAACCCCCAGGTAAACCCTGGTGTACTAAATGCTGGCAAATACGCTCCACATGTTTTTATGGCATTTATTGACTGAATGTATCGTCATCCGTAGACATTATTTTCATTTGTGATAAGTTGCTGGAACCCCAAGATGCATCTTCCCCACTTCTTGCCCCGCCCACTATTGTAAGGGTGCTTAGATTACCGTCATAGTCTATCAAGCATCTATGACCTTCGCCAGGATATATATCACCTTCAAATATTTCAAAATCAATTCTTTTTCTAGAAAATGTAAGCTTAGAATTATCACTGCGAGATTTGAAAGGCAAGAATTTATATCTGTTATCGTAAGGTATTTTGCTTGCACAGTCGGCCATTTTGACGCCGCTTCGTAGCAACCACGTTTAAAACGTGAACGGTAACTGAACGAGATATGGCTTAGCGCATGCACGCGCACTGACTTCCGCTCTATCGAAATACTGCATATACATATAGCGAAAGTTCGTAAGTGCAGAGTTATGTCACAGACAAAGTTCAAAGTGTAAAATCAACCCAAATGTTGCGCGCGACACATTGTCTCAATATGGTGATCATTTCTGTGAAATAGTTGTAAAATCTGACTTCAAATAACGAAGTTATGGGCTGGATACGATTTTGCTGCAACAAAATGCATATGCATCTCTTTTTCATGCCCAACATTCGTTTTTACATTTCCGTCAGCGATTTCCTGAAAATAATAATAAAAAATACACGGTCAGGTTTCTAATTTTGCTGAATGTAGTTTCAACCAATCGAAATGCTTCAATGAATGTTTCTGTTGTCGTTGTTCTTTTTCTTAAATGCTGTGTTAAAAATCATTATGAATCTTAAACGACTGAGAAACAGAAATCTTGACGAAGAAATTATGACAAAAGCAAGTTGTCTGTAATAAGGAACAGTGTAGCGTGGAATAATGCTATTAAAATCACTTAATTGCCAATTCATCATCATTTATTATCAATAGATATGAGTTCCTTCTTTTTATGGTGAAACTCTGTGTTTAATTCTTCATTGTTGTTATATTTTTCTGGTCCTTCGGGATCATTAATGCCAGCACTATTAAGTGTTGAGAATTGAGTACCGCTCAAACCGGTGATAGAGGGCGTGAGGAATGTTGCACTTCATAACCTCTGATCCCCTTTCAAAATTCCATTTTATTTAGTTCCACAATTTGTTTTCTCGTTTAGGGCACACGCTTTCTATTACTTGGGGACCATACGCCGCTTTTCATGGAATGGCACGGAAGTGTCATGTTAAAGGTTGTATGAACACATCTGCGGATGTTTCTAAATTCCAAATTTCACCATTTCATGTTTAAATGTTGAATTCTGCTTAAGCCGGTGCTAGGGGGCGTGGACGGTAGTTTGCACTTTCCAGTACCGTCAATGAACAGGCTCAATCAAACCGAGCCTTTTCTCTATTTTATTCATTATCCCTCATGTACAGACTCAAAGCATAATTCCACGCTATACTGTTCCTTATTACAGTCTACAATTCTTATGTAATTTTGTTGAGATTAATGCTTCCGAGGGATCACTTTGTTTCTAGATTTTGAGTACCGCTCAAGCCGGTGCTAGGGGCGTGAGGGATGTTGCACTCAATCTGCAAATAAATAGAATAACTATGTTATACAATAATTATGTTATCAGGGATGGTTTTAGTATATTCACCAATTATGTCTTCCAATCGGTCGATGGTTGTGTAGCCGGTGCTAGGGGTCTTGGACGGTAACTTGCACTTTCCAGTACCGTCCATGAACAGGCTTAATCAAACCGAGCCTGCAACATTTTCATTTTTGTTGTAATGGACTTTCTTTAAGGATTCAGTTTTCTCTATTCTATTCTATTTCATAACCTCAGATCCCCTTTCAAAATTCCATTTTATTTAATTCCGCCCATTGTTTTCTCGTTTAGGGCACATGCATTTTTTTACTTGGGGACCATATGCCGCTTTTCACTTTGAAGGTTCCATGATAACCGCCATGTGAACACATCTGCGGATGTTTTAAAATTCTAAATTTTATCAGTGCATGTTTAATGTTGAATTCTGCTTAAGCCGGTGCTAGGGGGCGTAGACGGTA